GCGTTGTTGTTACTTGTAGTACCATTGGAATTACCATTAGAATTACCGACGGAACTATTACTATTAGAAGTAGTGGCAGAAGAAACTGAAGAGGTATGATTTTGATTGTAGTTATTTTCTTTAGGAGAAGATGGATGATTTCCAGGTGCAAGAGGACAACACGGATGATGTCTCTGACCATCAATACCGATAACTGGTGTAACAGAGTTTCCATTTTTATTATGCGTAGCGTTTTTGGACTTTTTTCCAATTTTTACTGCAACTTTCTTTCCTTCTATCATATCCTTGTCATCTTCTGCAGAAGCTAAAAGCATCTTAGTATGTTGATGTTTCTCCATCCATTCACGTTCTTTCTCCTCTCTTTCTTTCTCTTTCTGCTTGACTATTTCCACCAATTCTCTTAACTTTTCATGCTGGGCCAGACTATTGGCTTTCTTAACACGTTCTAAGACCTCCATGTAATCCGCTTGCGCCATTGATCGCGCTGGAAGAAAGACTGGATAGCCTTCAATACACTCGTGCATTTCAGCGATACGAGCATGCCACAAAGCGCCAGTGTGAAGGTCACCGATAAGTACATAATTAAGAGCTATAGCATACCACGCTTCGATTAAGAGTGGATGATATGTGGCAAAAGTATGAGGAGGTTGATAACCATGAAAATGATGAGAATGGTGGTGACTATGATTATGATCTTTAGACACGGAAGCAGGAGTATTTGAAATAGAATTTTCAACATCAGAAGATAAGCCGGCTACCTTTTCTGCAAGCTTACGGTTCTTGTCTGTAGTTTTTTGATCTGATTGTTGATCCGTGGGATTAATAGGTAGGCTTAAATTATCATCTTTATCTTTAAATGATCTTACGGGAGACGAATCTCTTGATGCAATGGGAGTGCTGGCCTTAGATGTACCTTCAACACTAGTTGAAAATGATGGTAAAGAACTAGGATAAAATCCCAAAAAATGGGTGTAATCTCTCACTGAACGTCTTGTCAAACTTTGTACTTGGTGCATTATTGGCAAGAGTTCTTTTCTATATTCTTCGAGTTTTGGAGTAGTGCCTTGATTATTGGTTCCGTTGTTATTACCTTTTTTAACTGCTACTAATCTTAATTCACTTCCTTCCCCGTCTTTACGTTCTACTCCATCAACTTTTTGAATTGCTTTATCTACTAAACTAATAGCATATTGTAAATAACATGCAGCACGTAAAAAGTATAATTGGCTCTCAGTCCCTGTGCATTCGTCATCCTCATTGCCATGATGGTTATGAAGAGGAAGTGTTGGTTTTTTTCCTAACAAAACGTTATTTACTCGTTTTCTGTGTTTTGTATGCGCTAAAGCCGTTTTGAAATCTCGGAGAGCGCCCGCAAATTCTTCTTTAAAACATTTTACAACACCACGCGTACGATAAAATTCGGGAGTCGTTGGAGAAGTGGCAATGATTTTATCGAGTATATCGGTGGACGTAGATTGCGATAGCATTCTACTTGTATATGGTGGATAAAAAGTGGTGCAAAGTATTAGGTTGGTGCCAAATTTTTGGGAAATCCTCCGTACCAAGCCATTTTTTTATCTATATTACTACATCAAATCAGTTCTACATTCTTTACAGTTCTTGTTCCCTTATTCATGAAACAATTAAGAAAAGAATTGAACTCTATCTTCATTTTAAATTTTATATTTACCTCGAAGGAATTTTTTCATGAAAAAAATTCACATATAGCGCCTCTAGATTCGTCGAATTTTTCTTCAAAACTCTACTAGCCACTTCGTCGATTGCACTGGCTGACTGCATTGTTACTACCGCAGTAGCAATTTCATCAATCCGGTATGCAAGTGCTAATTTGTTAACTGCAAGCTCGCGCATCCTATGCTGTCGTGTGTGAGACATTGAGCTTCTTGTCGGTCCTCCACCGGTGGTTGATACACCTGAAGCGGCCCGAACAGATAAATCGGCTGCCTCATCGACTAATCGACGAATTGATATCAAATTACCAAAAATAATAGGATCAATTGGTGGCGGCGGAGTGGCAACATTATCATTATTGATCATGTAAAGCGACTCAAGCAGTTCCAAAGGAAGCTGAAGCCATGGTCCATGATAAGACGAGATATATTTCCAATGCTTATTACGAGATATAGACAACGAACTTTGATTATTTGAAGTGTGTGTCGACTGTTGCTGTTGTTGCTGTACGTGCTGTTGCTGTGAGAGCGGAATTACGGATGTACTAACGATTTTTGTTACTTTTTTACCAGTTTGTTTTTTGGCCTTCATAGTGGTAACTTCCGTAGTGTGAACCATTTACTATATTGAACACCGATTTTTGATAAGAATCGAAACCCAAAATAAATTAACTTTTTACTCTCAAAACTAAACATTAACAGTGTCAGCAGTAAGCATACTATAGCTGAAGAAACTATACCACAAATCTAATACCAGTAACCACGAAAAAGGTGGAATGGCATAAATACTGATACTGATAGAAGAGCCACCGAATGAGTTAGAATCATATGATGTTTATATTTTCGTTTCGGAATTTATGTGCTCTCAGATGATCAAATCAACGTGCACACAATGCAAGTTACTAATTCAATGCGATGTAGCCCCGAATTACGGAAATCTAGCATGGCGAAACAATATTGTTACACAAAAAATGGGAAATTTCTATATGCCATACAAGATCATTTAAATAATATTTTGATGACACACATTAGGTTAGAGATAGTTCAGACAGTAAAATCAGATAGAGGTACGTACGTACGTACCACTGGGTGGCACTTGGGCAACTTTGAGAACGTGAAATTATTGTATCGTACCGGAAATCTAATCCCGTGAAGATTGCGATTGACCAATAAAACCGTAAATTCTGTAATCTGGATTCTGCAGGAATCTGCACGCCAACTTTATAACGAACTCTCGTGAGAACGTTAAATTCTTAAAAAATTTGTTATAAAATATCCTTTTTTTGCTCTATATTAAAACGTGGTAATTTTATATAATGAATCGGACATTTGGTTTTATTATTTTAAAAGAAGAGTATAAGTTTCTTTTACAACATCAAGTTATTGAAGAACTTTCACATTATTTTATAATGTATACAGTTAGACCTTCTGTGCACTTCTCCAAGTGCACGGATTATGTAAATTTTCTCTAAATGCACGGTATAATCTGGTCCCAGCTTATAAAAGCTTGCTCTCCATGAATGTACACCCTCTCTAAGTGCACACTTTTCTAATTTTTTTCCTATCGCTATGGTCTCAAAGGGTGCACTTAGGGAGGTTGACTGTACATGTAGTGCCTAGAGGGAACCGGATTCACTTTTTTAATCCGGATTTATTAGTAAAAATCTGCATCGGATTTTATTGTATAAATCCGGTTGTTTGCAAAATTCCGATCAGAACCCTAGTCGGATGGGGGGTTCCCTTATGTCAAGCAAATTTCGGATTGAAGATCACTGTAGATCGTTTCCGGAGTCCAGATCTTCACCAATCAAAATCAACTAAATTGAAAATCGGTATTAAAATTTTGAATTTTTTACAACTTCTATAAATACAACCAACCTCTACTTACTCAATTTATTATTATTGATAAAAAAAATTATAGCAATTTAAACAAAAATATCTTAGCTTACAAGAAGTATATACAGTATATTTGTAGCCAAGCAGCAAGTTGCTTTTATTTTCAGATCTAGACCCTACTTTAATAGTAATACCAAATATAAAAATTGTTTCTTTACTACTTATCTCTTTGTCAACTGTTTAAATAATTAATATTATTTTTTTTTTTTTTTTTTTTAGCAATCCTGTTTTTATTAATCAAAAAATACATATAATACTATACAAAGGTTTTAAACTATTGCTCTCAACTCTCTTTTTTCTATAATAAAAACTCACTCGGCTGCCTTAAAGGCAGGGATGGTAAATGACCTGAAATGACCCAAATGATCCAAATGACAAATGACCAGTCATTGGGTCATTTCAAATTCAAATGACCCATAGAAGGTCATTTAACATTTGTCAA